TCGTCATCATCGTCATCAGTATCATCATCAGCATCATCACCATCATCAACATCTTCAACATCATCATCGTCATCATCATGTTCATCGATATCGTCATCATCCAAATCATCGAAAGAGCGTGTTCTACCGCTGCTGGCGGAAAACCGGGGGGGGTCACTACCGGTTCGAACCCTCCCCCCCCCCCCTCCCGGAAACGGTGGGGTCACTACCGGTTCGAACCCCCCCCCCCCCCCCTGCTCATCATGAGAAGGGGGGGGGGTCACTAACGGTTCGAACCCCTCCCCCCCCCCCACCCCCTCCGAATCCGGGGGAGAAAAACCGGGGGGGGTCGTGGTCACTATCGGTTCGAACCCCCCCCCCCTCGAAAACCGAGTGGGGGTGCGGACAGTGGTGGGACGGTGTTGGTGGGGACAGTGGTGAGGGGATAGCGGGACAGTGGTGGGGACAGTGGGACAGTGGGACAGTGGTGGGGACGGTAGTGGTGGGGACAGTGGTGGGGACAATGGTGGGAACAGGGGTGGACAGTGGACGGTGGTGGTGACGGTGGTGGTGGGGACAGTGGTGTGGGGACAATGGGAATGAGGTGGAAACAGTGGGACAGTGGAGGGTACAATGGTGGTGGGACAGTGGTGAAGGCGGTGGCGAGGACGGCGGTGGGACAATGGGACAGAGGTACAGTGGGGACAGTGGTGGGGACAGTGGGGACAGTGGTGGGAACAGTTGGACAGCTCAGTGGGACAGCGGAGGAGTCAGTGCGACAGTGGGGACAGTGGGGATAGTCGGGCAGTGGTTGGGGCCGTGGAGACAGTGGGGAGAGTGGAACCGTGGTGGGAACAGTTCTGGGGACAGCGGGGACAGTGCGACAGTGGTGGGGCCACTGGTGGGGACAGTAGGGGCGGTGGTGGAACCAGTGGGGACAGCGGTGGTGAGGACAGTGGTGCTGGGAACACCAGCGGGGGATGTGATGCGGACGGTGGTGGGGACCGGGAGTCGTTTGCTGGCGCGCGCCCTCCGTACCAGCCGCGAGAGGGGGGGCCCCCCCCCCGCGCACCGCCGGGGGGGGTTCGAATTGGTAGTGACCCCCCCCAGTTTTCTGGAATGTGGGGGGGGGGTTCGAACCGGTAGTGACCCCCCCCCCGGTTTTCCGGAGGAGGGGGGGGGGGGGGGGAGGGGTTAGCGGAGGGGGGGTTTTTGCCGGGGGAGGGGGCGGGGGGGGGGGGAGGGGTTCCCAGCAGGGGGGGGGGGGATTTTCGGAGGGGGTGGGGGGGCGACCCCCGGGTTCCGGAGGAAAAGGTTGGCAATTTTCCACAGTAAAGTGGCGGTGGATCACGCTCTCTCAAATCATCATATCAGCATCATCATCAGCAGCAACACCATCACCAGCATCAGCATCGGCATCGGCATCATCATCATCATCAACATCAGCAGCAGGCATCAGCATCCTCAGCAGCATCAGCATTAGTGTCATCATCGTGAAGTTCGTCATCATCAGCAGCATCATCATCAGCATCATCAGCAGCATCAGCAGCATCAGCATCAGTAGCATCATCTTTATACGCATTGTCATCATTATCGTCGGCGTCGCCATCGTCAGCATCATCATAATCATCAGCAGCATCGGCATCATCATAATCGACATCGTCAGCATCAGCAGCATTAGCATCATCCTCATCATCCGCATCATCAACAGCATCGTCAGCATCATCATCAGCATCATCATCAGCACCAGCAACTGCATCATCATCAGACCCACCACCATCATCATCATCCCCGTCGTAGTCGTCATCATCACCGCCATCAGCAGCATCAGCATAACCATCATCATCAGCATACGCATCACGATCATCGTCATCAGCATCATCAGCATCAGCATCAGCATCAGCATCAGAACCATCGTCATCATCGTCATCGGCATCAGCATCATCATCATCAGCAGCATCGTCAGCATCAGCATTACCATCAGCATCACCATCATCAGCAAGACTATCATAAGCATCATCATCATCAGCATCATCAGCATCATCATCGACATCTTCATCACAAGCATCAGCATCATCAGCATTACCACCATCATCATCATCATCATCAGCACCATCATCGTCTTCAGCATCATCAGCATCGTCACGGTCGTCAGCATAATCATCATCAGCATCATCATCATCAGCAGCAACAGCATCATCATCGTCATCATCATCAGCAGCAACAGTATCATCATCAGCATCATCAGCATCGGCATCATCATCGTCGTCGTCAACAGCATCATCATCGTTATCGTCAGCATCGTCATCATCACCAGCATCAGTGCCAGAATCATCACCAGCACCGCCACCATCATCATGATCGTCGTCGCCATCGTCATCATCATCCTCACCATCACCATCATCATCATCGTCATCATCAGCATCATCAGCATAACTACCATCATCATCAGCATCGGCATCATCGTCATCAGCATCATCAGCATCAGCATCATCATCATCGTCATCATCATCGTCATCAGCATCAGCCTCAGCATCATCATATTCGTAAACATCAGCATTACCATCAGCATCAGCATCAGAATCATCATCAGCATCATCACCAGCATCAGCATCATCACCAACATCAGCATCATCATTACCACCACAATCATCCTCATCACCATGGTTTTCCCGTCATCATCATCATCAGCATCGTCACGGTCATCAGCATAATCCTCATCCGCATCGTCATCAGCATCGGCATTATCATCGTCATCATCAGCACCAGCAACAGCATCATCATTATCAGCAGCAGCATCAGCATCATCATCATCATCATCATCAATGGCATCATCACTATCGGTATCGTAATCAGCATCGTCATCAGCATCAGCATCAGTGTCGTCATCATCACCACCACCGCCACCATCACCATCATGATCGACGACGCCGTCGTCATCATCATCATGATCAGCATCAGCATCATCAGAATCAGCATCATCAGCATCATCATCGAAATCAGTATCATCATCATCATCATCATCATCATCATCATCATCACCATCGACATCATCATCAGCAGCAACAGTACCATCATCAGTATCATCAGCATCATCAGCAACATCAGCATCATCAGCAACAGCCGCAGTACCATCATCATCAGCATCGTCATCGTCAGCACCATCATCACCACCACCAGCATCAGTACCATCGTCATCATCATCAGCATCATCGTCATCGTCAGCATGATCAGCATCCTGAGCATACTCATCCTCATCATCATCAGCATCATCAGCATTAGCATCATCTTCAGAAGCATCAGCAGGATCAGCATCATCATCATCAGCGTCATCAGCATCATCGTCATCGTCGTCATCATCGGCAGCATCATCATCAGCACCAGCATCAGCATCATCATCATCACCAACACCACCATCATCATCGTCGTCGACATCATCAGCATCATCATCAGCATCAGCAACAGCATCATCATCATCATCAGCATCATCAGCATCGTCAGCATCAGCATCATGATCATCGTGAGCATTATCAGCATCAGCATCAACAGCATCATCATCGTCATCAGCATCATCGTCAGCAGCATCAGCATCAGCAACATCATCAGCATACTCATCGTCGTAATCAATGTCGCCGTCGGCATCCTCATCAGCAACATCATCAGCATCAGCATCATCAGAAACATCATCAACAGCATCATCAGCATCAACAGCCTCATCATCATCATCATCATCATCATCATCATCATCATCATCATGGTCGTCGACATCATCATCATCATCACCAGCAGCAGCATCATCACCAGCATCAGCATCAGTACCACCGTCGTATCATCATGATCAGCATCAACGTCGCCGTCACCAGAATCATCATCATCATCAGCATCAGCAGCAGCATCATCAGCGTCACATTCATCATCATCATCATCATCATCAGCATCATCATCATCATCATCATCATCATCATTAGTGGCAGCATCAGCATCCTCATCATCAGCATCATCATCATCAGTATCGTCATCAGTAGCAGCAGCATCATCAGCATCGGCATCGTCATCATCGTCATCATCATCGTCAGCGTCCTCATCGTCATCACAAACATCAGCATCGTAACCATCATCACCACCACCACCATCATCGTCGTCGTAGTCGTCAGCATCACCACCACCATCATCATCATCATCGTCAGCAGCATCATCATCAGAAGCATCATCAGGATCAGCATCAGCGTCATCATCATCGCCAACGTCATCGTCATCAGCATCAGCATCCTTATCAGCATCATCATCCTCATCATCATAAGCATCATTGTCATCATCGTCATCATCAGCACCAACATCATCATCAGCATCATCATCGACATCATCATCAACATCATCAGCAGCATCATCAGCGCCAGCGTCAGCATCATCATCATCATCATCAGCATCATCATCATCAGAAGCAGCATCATCATCATCATCAGCATCATCAGCAGCATCGACATCAGCATCATCATCTTTATGAGCATCGACATCATCATCGTCAGCATCATCAGCATCATCGTCAGCATCAGCATCATCATCAGCATCATCATCATCATCGCCATCGTCACCATCATCATCATCAGCACCATCATCATCCTCAGCAGCATCGTCATCGTCGGCATCATTAGCATCGTCATCATTATCGTCAGTACCGGCATCATCATCAGCAGCACTAGCATCATCATCAGCAGCATCATCGGCATCATCAGCATCGTCGTCGTAGTCGTCATCATCACAACCACCATCCTCATCATCAGAATCATCATCATTAGCATCATCATTGTCATCAGCATCATAATCATCAGCATCATCAGCATCAGCATCATCGTCATTGGTATCATCATCATCATCATCATCATCATCATCATCATCATCATCATCATCATCATCATCATCATCATCATCATCATCATCAGCAGCACCATCATCGTCAGCATCATCATCATCAGCATCAGCATCATCCTTTTCCTGCTGGAACGGGCAAGGACCAGGCGCTCCTGCGCCTCTGCGGCCGCGAGGGTCCCCTCCGCAGCGGCCACGGCGCTGGCACGCTCGGCCTCGCGCGAGGGGGACCGCGAGGGTGAGGACTGGGAGGAAACGAGAAGGAGAAGGAGGAGGAGGAGGAGGAGGAGCAGGAGGAGGAGGAGGAGGCGGAGGCGGAGGCGGAGGAGACGGATCCCGTCTGAGGCGAAGCGCCCTGGTTGCCACAACAAATCAAGAACACGTTTCATCCGCTCAGCCTTCAGACCAGACTGTGCAACAACTCGCCTGCAACATTGAATGTAGGCTTGGGTTCCCACGTTCCCGCCAGGCGGACACAGGAGGTCCAGCAGAAAGACCAGACCCAGCGGATCTTGCCACGCCCCTTTTTGGACGTGCTGGACGCCGACAACCAAAATCGCCTTCGCGTGTTGAACCAGTTGTGGTCTTGTTCGCTTGCGGCTCTGGCTGCCCTGCAGTCTGGGCGTCGCTGCAAGTGTGAGTGCCAATAGGGGGGGGAGGAGGAGGAGGAGGAGGAGGAGGAGGAGGAGGAGGAGGAGGAGGAGGAGGAGGAGGAGGAGGAGGGGGAGGGGGAGGAGGAGGAGGAGCCGCGAGCCCATAGGACGACGCGCCGAGTTAGCTTCGGGACGGATAAAAGGCATTTGGAAAAGGAAAGCGGGTGCAATCGAGCACAAAACGAAAGTGGGCCCCAGGGCACTGTAAGCCCAGCCGAAGCATCAAGGCAGTGACGAGAGGTCCCACGGGAAAGCCCACGGGGAAGTCCCAGGGCCAGAAACGAGTTTCGGGACAACCCGGATGGATTTTATGGGGAGCAGGCCTAGCCACTGAACCGCGTCGTCAGTGACCAGGAGCCTGCGTGGGAGGGGGAGTGGCAGGGCTTTGCCACCCTTGGGGTGGACGCCCTTCATAAAGTTATCCCGCCTCCATTCACGTTGAGAATTCCCTTCTAGGGCAGCCCGGGGTCACATGTCCAGAATAGCTGAGTGCGAGCCGGTCTGGCCGAGAACGCCCCGCATTTCCTGCAGCCAACAATGTCCCTAGAAATATACAGGATATGCCCTCTCGCCGCGCTTGGCGGGACCTCTCCAGCCCTCGGCAAAGGCTCCTGGGGGGGTCCGCATCCGCTAGCGACGGCGGGGTGCCTCTAGCCGCTCGCTTCACACCCCTCGAGGCTGCCTCAACGACGGCGTCAGCCACGGCCTCTTGGGGGCCCACTGAACTGCACGGGGCCTCCGAATGCCGCACCCTCTTGCGAGGCACGAGGCGCGGTTGATCCGTCGCATCCCTCGCAGGAGGAGGAGGCGGAGGACTGATGAGGAGACCAACGCCGCTGGCAACAGTGGGGCAGGGTGGGAGGTCGGCCAGACGACTCGGCACCTCAGCTTCAGGACTAGGGAACACCAGAGGAGGAGGGGAACTCGACCGACTCGAGGCCGAGGGAGGGAGGGCGACCCGAGGCTTGACCCCGTGAGACCTGTCCTCCCTGCTCCTGCTCCTCCTGCCAGTCGACGTCCTCCAGACGGCGACTCAACGACCTCCCCGCTCCCTGCATTTCGTCGTCATCAGGCCTTGGAGCCGCCAGCGGCTCGGTCCTGGGCCGCTCACTGTGCCCAACAGGGGCCGTACTCTGTTGCACTGCGGGACGCGCCACCCATGAATGACGAGCGCACGCTGGGGCTGCCAATCGGGCGAGACCCCGTTTTGTAAATGATCCACCCCCCATCCCTCGAGTTCCAAGACATGAATCTACTATGATAAAGCCAAGCTAAAGTGTCCAGCCTCCCAAGAGGCCCTGGACTGTCCCCCAGGGGCCCCCAAGAGCGCTTCGAAGAGACCCCAAGAAGCATCTATGAGGACTCTGGTCCACGTTAGCGTCGTCGTCGTCGTCGACGCCACCACCGCCGCCGCCATTGTCGTCGTTCCCCGTCAGGGTCGGCGGCACCGGCCGTAAAGCATTCGCAATCTTATGACAAAACCAAACTAGGTGTCAAGCGATAGGCTGGGAGGGTGCGGAGGATGTCGACGACACCCCTGCGGCTGTTGTGGAGCAGCTGATGTGGAAATGGACGTTTTGAGCCACAGTCTTTGGGCACAACCGCGGCCTGAAAGTGTCGCTGCACACTTCAAAACAGCTTCGCGGACAAAATCGGCGATTCACTGACATACATGGCCAGAAACGATCAACGGCATCATACGCCATGCTCCAAATGCCAATCCAGAAAACTGCCCCACTCTTCTGGAGTCCACCCGCTGCCGACAACTCCGGCTTCTAACCCATTGATAAACACAGTCGGCGTCACGTGCACCCCACGCAGTCGATGAAATTTCGTAGCCCACTTCAACTGTTGGGTCACACGATTCCCACAATTGCCACTTCCAGTAAGCCTGAGCAACTGGAGCATCTCTGTTGGCTCTGCCACGTCTGCAGTGCCCGCCATTTCCGCAAGCTTCGCATAGAGGTCTTCACGGGACTTGTCCATGACCTCGCTGTCAAAGAATCCCACCAGCCCTTTAGGGCGTGAATGGTTTAGGGAGCTTCCTCTTCCAACCCCCCTTGTTCCCCCTCGGCGACTGGTTTACCCCTAATTACCTTTACCCCTTGGACCTGGGCTGGGGTGGGGCGCGCATCGTTAGAGCGTCCAAAATGGACTCGGCGAGAAAGCAACAATCAATGATTTTGAACTGAGATTTTGGCCACATGTTGGCCTCCGAAGGGGGGGCGGAGCTATTTGGAACATCCCCCTTCTTTGATCGATCTCCCCCAAGATGGCCGGCCACCAAGGCTCCAAAGAGTGCCCCAAGACGGCCTCAAGAGACTCCCAGGAGGTCCTAACGACGCTCCCAAGAGGCCCCCAAGAGGTTCCCAGGAGACCCCCGAGAGGCCCCCCAGAAGCACCAAAGAAACCCAAAGTGGCCTCATTGGTTGTACGAAGGTGTTGGCCACATTTGGGCATCCTGGGGGGGTTCTACTTAGGAAGCCCCCCTCCTTTGATCGATCTCTTCCAAGATGGCCCCAAGATGGTCCCCGAGGCTCCCAAGGCTGCTCCAAGACGGCCCATAGAGGTGCCCAGGAGCCCCCAAGAAGCCCCCAGGATGCCCCCAAGAGGCTCCGAAGAGGCTCCAAGAGGCCCCCCAGAGGTACCCAAGACGCCCCAGGAGGCCTCGGCGATAAGGCCAAAATCATTAATTTTACACTAGTTTTGGCCACATGCTGGTCTCGTGGGGCAGGGGGCGGGCTAATTCAGTACGGCCCGTCCTTTGATCGATCTCCTCCAAGAAGATGGCGGAAAGATGGCCCCAGAGGCTCCCAGGGGTACCCCGAGACGACCCCAAGAGGTGCCGCGGAGGCCACGAGAGGCCTCCAAGACGCCCCAAAGATGCCTCCAAGAGCCCCAAGAGGCCCCCCAGAGGCACCCAAGACGCCCCCAGAGGCCTCCGGGATTGCTAAGAAACCTCCGAAACGCGCCAAAAGGGCCCCAAGAAGCTCTCGAACGACATCCGAAGAGACTCCGAGAGGGATCAGAGGCCTCTGGTCTTTCTGCTCTGCTCGCCCCCCTGTTCCTCCTCCTCCTCAACCTCCGCCTCCTCCTCCTCATCCTCCTCATCCGCCTATTCCTTCTTCCTCCTCAATCCTCCCCCTCCGCCTCCCCCGGGGTCCCCCTACTACTCCTGTTCCTGCTCCTCCGATTCCTCATACACTCTCCTCCTCTTGGGGTACGGCGTCCTACCTAATAAGCATTTCATGCCACTGCATACTCCTCCACAACCCTGATCAGGACAAATCGTCTGGGCATCGTTTCTGGATGGGCTGGCGGGGTTATGCGAAGCGTCTAGAATTCGCCCTGCCTCTGAAGCAGAACCTCCACGTATCTCCAAAAGGCTACCGGACCTTTCAGCTCCAACACTGCTAGAGAAGCCTCATGCATGTAGCTGCTTTGAGCGTGCCACGGCTGCACCACACTGTGAAAGACGAAATCGACTCTGCCCTGGTAGGCAGCTGTGACTCCTCCAACCAAGCTCATGAACATCTTCTTGTCGGGTCGGACGAAAGGGGGAGGGATGAGGGATAGTGAATGTGGGGTAGACGCATCAGCCCACGTAGCTGGCATTCTTGCCGCCTCCCGGCGCCAGGGCCGCCGTGTCTCGAGGAGAATTCCCCGCGGCGGAGCCGGAACCAGCTGCACGCAGCAGATGTCGTGACCCTGGCCCCCCCCTTCGTCCGACCCGGTCTTGGAGAAGGGGCAGCAAAGGTCCAAGAAGAGCTCCACTGTTACAGCCGCTGGCTCTGCGCCAGAGGGCAGCCTCACCCCGAGGGGGCGAGAAGGCAACGGCGGGCCCCCAGGCCGCTCTGCGCGCAGCTCAGACCCGAGGGCCCTGCCAGACCAGCGGCCGGCAAGTGCCGCTCCCACGAAGCCCGCGGCCGACTGTGGCCATAGTAGAAGAAGAAACAACGCCATAGACATAAACTTTTGGCGCTCTGCGCGGATTTCTTGGAACTGCGCTGGGCCCCCCTCCCTGGCGCGCTCCGCGCGTCAAGGGCGGCGCCGGAGGCGCCGCTAGGGGACCCAGCGCAGATCCAAGAAATCCGCGCGGAGCGCCGGGAGTTTATGATTATGGCGTTTTTCCTTCTTCGACATAGACAAACCCCAAGCAGACATTCAGCAAGATCAGAGTTTGTATCTTGACCATCTAACAGCATCGAACTTGGACATCGGGCTTGATCATCAAGATCAGAGGTCGATCTTGATTCAAGCTTGATGCTGCTTGACCATCAAAAAGCAAACAATTTGGACATCGGGCTGGATCGGACTGAGCGTCGCATCGGGCTGCACCAGCACACAGTCCGAATCGAATCGCATCGGTCGTGCCAGGAGATTCTCGTAACAGCGCCACGCGAGCACGGGGCCGCGCGCAAGACGGAGCCAGGGCGAGGAGAACATCGGGCCAGGATAATCGAGGAACAGCCCCCCAGAGGCCTCCAATCTGCCTCGGGCAGGCCCCCGAGAGGCTTCTCGCGAGATCCCCACGAACATCCAAGAGGCCTCTGAACCACAAC